AGTCACCATTAACCGCAGACCATGTGTAGCGGAATAGCTACATGGCTGTACGCACTTACGGGCTATTTTACCAAAACACGAGTGGTAAATCAAAAGCCTGTATTGTTTCGCTTTGTGCGATGAGGTGATGAGCTAGAGCGTCTGCGCTGCTTGCGATCTAGGGAGGGTTTCTCGACTTGGCGTTGTAGTGACGCTATTTGCGATGATAAAGCTTCGATTGCTGACGGCTCACTAGTCGCGGATGTCGCTGGGGCTGGGACGGGGCTAAGTCGAGTGTATGTCGTTGGCTGATGTCGTTCGACGACACGGTCTGCTAGTTCTGCAACTGCTGTGAGAGGCAGGGCGCTTGCCGCGCCAAGGATGTCCTGTGTGTTTTCCAGGAGGCATTTCATTCACATTTCGCGGAGAGTACCTGCGTCCATGCTGGATGTGCCTAGGAGCTGTTACATCTATCGCAACAAGGCTGAAGGCATCCTGTCCCCTAGCTGCAGCTCCCTAAACAGCTGCTGCAGTCGGACCTTGTCAGAGGGCGTGATTTGCTGAATGCTCGCCTGCTTTAAAGTCTCATATTTCACATCGGGAGGCAGGCAAGCTATGATACACTTTGCGGAAGCCGGGACATAAGTTGATGATATTTAGCATTATCAGCTGAAATTTTACGATTGTAAAAAGTGGATTCTAAATGAGCAAACCATAACAACGGGTCCGTTTCCCAAAAAGGTGGGGAGGATAGCTCTACGGCACTAGCCACGTACGTAGATGTTTTATCATCAGGACTATTCATCGTGATAAATGAATAGGTATATGCGGCGAGTGAGAAAACAAAACGATAGCGAGTAATGAATCAAAGCCACTGGAATGAGATCATCAAACTGAAAATTCAAAATGGTGGACGGCATGTTCCTTACAGGGGTCACCAATTGTTGGGCGGAGCCTGGGATACTAGTCGGTAAGCAATGACACGTAAGAGGTGTTAAATACAGGACGGTATAGAAGTCGGAGGCGACTGAACCCAACGTATATTGTACAGGCTACAAAAATAGGAAGCGAATCAACCAGAGCGAGAAACGGTGCAGCAAAGTACTTACCAAAACGCTTTGTGTCGAAGGATGCGCAGTCAGTAAAACAAGTGAACGTTTTGAAGTTTGAAACAACCGTAAAATCCAATGTTGCAAAATACTGGAACAGCGTGTTTTCCGGTACACTACAAGTTCCCAGTAACGTGACCTTGGTGTTTTCGTACAAATGACCTAAACTATTCAAACTAGACTGAGGCAGCTGCGAAAAAGGGTCGCCAGCAAGTCGCCTTGCTGCGAATGCATTCGGAAGATTTGACCCATCAGTTTTCCCAGTGATGCACAACCCCTACGTGCGCCCTGGCGTTGAACACGCTACCCAAGCTTGGCAATCTTGGTTGATGCACGACCTAGAGGTGCTAAAGACACCACAGCGCAGGGAAACAAAGGTTGTCAAGGGCCCACGCTATCACTCTTACCAGCGATGGCAAGATTACATGAGTTTTCAGCGGACGCCACCGAAGGCTGCGAAGCGATCTCATATTAGTGTACCGAATACCCCCCCCCCAACCACGTATGACGCCGTTTGCTTAAACCTAGCTCACCAAGCTCAGAGACAACTGCCTGAAGGCGTATGAACAATACAGCCGGCTAAGGGGTCGAGGGAATTACTTTTCTCTTCGTGTTTGCCAACCCTTGAGCTCTCTCTTGAACTCAGTTGTATCCTCCACTACATTGGACATTTCCATTAAAAGATTGGCTGTTACGCTTGGCTCATAGCACTTCGTTACCTAAACTGCGATATTGTGATTCACATTAATCATGCCCTTCCACCGGATTTATGTGTCCCATGTACCCAAGGAGGTGGTATATGAGTGAGCAACCATATTTTACCTTTCCCACGCTTTACGTCAAGGATCACTGCATCCCGTGTTCTTCTGTTTGCTTGCAGTCAATTTTTGTTGTACACCAAAGATATTTACCAACGCGCGTAACTCGATAGACGCCCGGTAAATGAATCTCATACCCATTCATTTTATGTTATTCACCCGAAACATCCTAGGGGTTTCCTCAAACGCCTGTTTTTTAATCAGTGATCAGTCATGTTTCATTGTTCTTCATTTCGTCCGATGCTGCTGCTCTCGTTGCGCATCCCTAGTTGACCAAAAAGGGGGTAATGATCTCTCTTCCTCGAATACGAAAATATCTTTCTGCTCAAAGAGATACATCACGCAGAAACTCGACCAACTTTTCTTGAGAGCCAAAGCTCCCTTCTCCTGACATCAGTACACCTACGCTCCATGGGTGCTGCCTCACTGCGCCAGTCTCTGTGGCATTAGATTATACATTGACTGTAACAATTATCCCACCTTGCCTTTGCGCCAATTATTTGCCTGACATTCCATTTCATCTAAGGTCGTACAAATTTACTCATACACACATGCCCTTGTGCACATTCTCGGATATATAGTGACGAGACGCGGTCGCCTCCGACGTTGTTGTGTGTATGACTTCTGAACATAGTCCATCCCCACTGAGGCGGGACGCCATGGTTGCTCTTAACGTAACACCATCTATAGGTCTAACACGCATTACAACACTCAGTACTTCGACTCTTAAAGGTCAGCATTTCCACAATAGCCCATCGGAGTTAGAACAAACTAGCTCTCAATCCGACCTTATTACAAAAAGTATGTTGGGCACAATTGAAGGGCGGTTGAAGGTGGCTGTCAGCAAAGACGGTCACAACATGATAAGATGGAAACTTGCTGAGCTACTTCAAATCTGAATTTAGGTGATGTGCCAGTGTTGGGAAGAGCAACACCCAAATATATCCATTGTTGAGCTACTCTCTTTGGTGACAAAAAGTCTCCCACGATGCCAAATCTGTTGGCATCCCCAGAGAAACCATTGCCTATGTGAAACTTACTCCTTGCTCCTTACTCGACTATAAGCTATTTGAGAAATTCCTGCGTGTGTCCCTCCGCACCCTCGGAGACTCAGAAGCAAGTAGGACCAATGATGGAACCATCGAGGAAGCCATTAGCTGAGAGAATAATGAACTATATGCATCACCTAAATAGTAAAACGAACGGCAACACATGTGATCAATGCAAGCGGAAGATTGGACGTGACTATAAAAAACGCCACTAGCATGAAAAATGCTTCAAGGTGGAGTATATGTATTATTCCGGTTACTACGATGACGGATTCGCTGATGGCTGCGACAGTTGCTAAGGTTGAGCAAGTACGGGTATCGTGGCCAACAATGGCATGAGAATTGCTACGTTTGCGTAGAGCACAAACATTCTGTTGACCAAGGGTTCTGTATACCTTGATACGATATTAAATACACACCACACTGTGCAATATGCGTGGATTTTACACAACGCAACTCGCAGTTCAAATGGACGTGCTCAGTAAAAGGAAGAGATGGTATTGTGTGTGCTCACCGCTAGTTCTACGTTCTCACACGCGCACGCATACCAGCTTGCAACTGACCTGGTCAACTTGCCTGACGGCAGACGTAAAACCGAAGCTTTGCTTGATTTCTACGTACAGTCTCAACGGATCGCGGACTAGTATACACCGTTTAATCCCGTTTTGCGTCATCTTTCCTAAAGTGGAGCAAGTGCTGAAGGATATCTGACGGTTCTTGCAAAAACTCTGTAAAACTTCCAAATCACTCTGTGCTCCGCTCTGTAGTGGATTTTTCCTTACACATCTCAATGTACATCAACCAAATTCCAATCATTCGGCTCGGAATTACCAGTTCTACTCAACAACCACTTGGGCAGCTCCATACCATCGCAATCTACAAATCATGGCGGTAATTGAAGCCATATTTCCTAATACGACCAAGAAATCGGCTTTCCCACTATCGGACCCTAGCTCCACCGTGCGGACTACATCTCACCGACAACCGACCCTAAACAGCAACGATCAATAGACGCAAGCTTTCTCTCACCCCAAACTCACTCGACCTTAGGTGCGTGTTACAACGTGTGAGCGAATCACCTTAACGTCAGAGTGTCATCTACCACCCGCTCGGGAGCGTACTCCATAGACCCGCGCACACAGGCGAACAAACGAGACTAAGCAACAAGCCGCGCAGGTGACAGAAATCGAAGAACTGGCCCATCAACGAAAATAACCCGGAGTTTAAACCGGTT